CACAGAAAACATACTTTGGAAGATATATAGTGTCTATTTCACTTATCCTTGTCTTTGACAATGGCACACACCTGTATCATCCTGTACATATGAACATATGAGGGAATAAAAACTCCTTAATCATGTTGAAAACAAACCATTATCAATAACTGTGTCAGTAGGGTTAATAATCACTGCTAAAAGACCCCTAAAGAAATCTGATTTGATTTTTTTTTTCCAGTCCCAAATTATATGATGCAGTGTTTCTTCAGTATTGTTTACATTCTGTTATTGCTTTTGTTAAGATTTCAAATTATGTTATTCTTATATTTTCAGTTTTCAATTTAATTTGAGCTATTTTGTATTAATTTAAGTTACAAAGATGTTATTCATGGTTTTAGTTTTAGTTAACAATAATGATGTTCAAACATATATATTTAATTGGTGAAATTACTCAGGGCGCAACATAGTTTGTAACAAAGGAAATAAAAAAGAAGGTTTTGGATCAAAATCATGTAAATATAAAAAGCTTGGGGAAAAGGCCATATGCAAATTTGTGTCACCATATGCAAAATCAATTGAACACCTATTCAAAATAACCACCAGCGAATGCTGTATTCTTCTGTTTTACATTTGATTTTAGTACACTATAACTACAGTATGAGCTACAATGTGAGTGTAAGTATATTTTACAAAGAAATCTAATTTGTGATGCGGTCAGTGTGGAACCACTTTGCACATATTTTGAATTTAATCACTTTCAACCAAACTGAAAATCATAAAGCTTCTCAAAAAATGTGATGATTTCAGGGATTCTCATGATCTAAATCAGCTTGCATTTAGGAGTAAAAAATAAAATAAATGTCCTTTCTCATTCTTATTTATATTATTATTATTATTTAGAATTGTGTGTGTGTGTGTGTGTGCACTGTAAAAAATGACAGGGAATTTAACGGTAATTCCATTTTTGTAAGTGAAAAAGACTGTATAATTTACAGTGAATAACCGTAAATTGACATTCCCAGAATTCCCTGCGTTACATTTCAAATTTGATGTTTTTTACCACAGCTGCCGGTTTTTTTACCGTAAATTTTACTGATTTTTTTTTACAGTGTGTGAGAGAGAGAGAGTATTTGTGTCTTACCATATGGAGTGACTATGACAGAAGTCCAGAGCAGATATGATTTGTCTGAAGAACTTTCGTGCCTCTTTAGGCGTCAGTCTGCCCTTCTTCACCAAATAGTCAAACAGCTCTCCTCCTGAAACATGCTCCAGTACCAAATATCTGCATGAATGGAGCCAGAGAAAGAGTGGAAAAAATGCTTCAACATAGGAACAAATGAAGAGCAGGAAGAACAATGTTCTTGAGTGAAGCCTAGAACAAAGCATGTAAAAGTGTGGTAACTCACAGGTATTTGTTATTCTCATAAACATCATGGAGTTTCAACACGTGTGGATGTTCAATCAGTTTTAAAATAGCAATTTCTCTCTCCACCTGGTTGAATGAGAAAAAGGAAAGATTATATTTACCACTCTTTATATAGTATTATCTATTTAGCATCTTTATAAATAGCATATTCAAAATAGCAAATTGTTTTGATAAACATGCCATGATAACTGTTTTTTTTAAAGGGGTCATATGATGCTTTTTTAAAGATCATTATTTTGTGTATTTGGTGTAAATACTTAAAAAGTAAAACAAAATAATAAAATGAATGTTAACTGAAATCAAATAAAATATTTAAAACATTTAATCAACATGTATTTTTTTTATTTTAATAAAAAAATCTATTACCTTGAAAAACAGAAAAAATAACTGAACCTGAAATAAAAAGGTATGAAAATTATATAGACAAAAACTAATAAAATGGCAAAGAATTAATTACTAAAACGTTTCCTAAAATGAAAATGGAAAATACACTGTAAATTTCAATTTGTTAACTGTACTTGAAAAAAAAATAATCTTGCAAACTTATTGCCACAGAAAAATCTAGTTAAGGTTACTTATCATATTCAAGTTTTCATAAATTGGCTTCTGAGTAAACTTGAATATATTGAGCAACCTTAACTAGATTTTTCTGAGGCGATACGTTTGCGAGATTTTTTCAAGTAATGCTAACATTTTGAAATTTACAGTGAAAATAAAAATTCAAAATATTTATAAAAACTATAATAGTATCTCAGTGATATTCTGTAATTAGGCAGTACTGTATCTGATGCATTACTGTATACAATATTATAATTTAATTTAAATATTTAAAATGAATTTTAATGACGGTGTAAAACTTTACAAAAACCACAGCATTAAAAAAGAGTTAATTCTTTCTTTACCTTCATCAACACAGATTCTGAGAGTTTTTCTCTGTTGACTATTTTGAGGGCTACTTTTTGGCCAGTGATGCAGTGAATCCCGAGCTTCACCAGACCTATATTGACATGGCAGACATGCACAAGACAGTTCATCAGTGACAACTGCTTTGAAAGGAGCAGAAAAATGACAGACAATCTAATACGTAAACAACGTCTCCTTACCTGTCTGGCCTTTCCCGAGAGTCTTCTCCAGTCGATACGGCCCCACATACTGAGCTGCCGGGGTCACTGACAGTTCCTTAGACATAGTGGCGGCCTGGCTCCTGCTAAACTTGCTACTGCATGCAATGTTATCACAGCGCACCGTTTTTGAGTTGAGTTTTTCTAAAATAGTCTCCCAAGGGTCTGCAACAACCTGGAAATATATCCATGCTGAGCTCGGGGTTCCCTAAAAGCTGTCATTTATTATTCTGGACTCTTTGTGTTTGTCATGTAGATGAGGGGAAAGATGCCGATGGCAATGCAAAGATACAGTCAGGTCCATAGAAGCAGCCTAATTCACAGCTCTGCCAATCAAAGTCACCCTTCTCAATCGATCAGACTTTTCGTTCCCAGTCATTACAGAAAGCCAGGTCCTGTTAGTAAGCTCCTGTTTCTAGATGGATCTAGCAGCTGGCCATCGCCTCGTGACAAAAACACCATTTAGAAACTCCTCCTGGCTAGTGTTTGTAAAATATAAGTGAACACAAGCCTTCAGTACACCTGTGCTAGGCCTAACTCCCAGGTAAAGGAGACCGAATCTCACCATTTGCTGTCGTTTCACATTGAGCAAGACAAGCCAAACGAGCAGTGCGATCGCGTAAGGAGATCCAGCTCGCTCTGCATCCGCGGATCTGGCAGCACTGCTTCAGCTCTGCTGCTGATGTTGAGCTACGGACCGCAGCATCCTCATCCTTCTCCTTCTCGTCTGCGCCGTGCGTCCTCTCTCGCCGGTCACTTTTGGGGAAGGGGTTTTGTGTTTTTGATGGTGACTGATACGTCGCGCGCTAATATTTTGCGTGTCTTGACGTTGTTGTTGTTGTTTTTTTGCGTTGTAAAGCGTTATGTTCTCCGCTCTGGTTCCTCGCATTAGCATCCGGGTCCCACACCCTCCCTCCACTGCACCTCGCGCCACAGATCTGCTCCTCGCGATACAGTCATGCTATCAGATCGTAGAATCATACTTAATATATTGGCACTGAATGATAAGCATCTTCAAGTACCAAATACGTAGCCTACTCCAAAAATAGTTTTTAATTAATTCATTTTTGGAATTGTATCTTCTCTATCAGCCTTCACATATTTTCGTCAACATAAAAAAATTAACAAAAATAAAAAAAATAAATAAAAATAAAAAATCTAACGATATCAAAATTTTAGGTTCAACAAAGTTTTAATGCCTGACGAGTGCTTGAGTTCAACAAGGTCACACAGCCTCAGATTAGTTTTTATTATTTCATTTTTATTTATTATTTTTAATTTTTATTTCATTTTTTTAATGGTTTTTTATTGTTGTTTTATGTAATTGTGCTTATATTTTCTGTCACAACCAGTGATACATCAACCTCAACATAAAAACTGATAATAATAATAATAATAATAGCCTAATTATAATTATACATAACATTATATTACGGCGATAATAATTAATAATAATTATTATTATTATATAAAAAATATTAAATCAAACAACATCCAAATTTTAAGTTCAACAAAGTTTTAATGCTTGACAAGTGCTTGAGTTCAACAAGGTCACACAGGCTCAGATTAGTTTTTATTATTTTATTTTTATTTATTATTTTTCATTTTTATTTCATTTTTTTAATTATTTTTTATTGATGTTTTATGTCATTGTGCTTATATTTTCTGTCACAACCAGTGATACATCAACCTCAACATAAAAACTGAAAATATTTAATAATAATTATTATTATTATAATTATTATTATGATTATTATATAAAAATATAAAATCAAACAATATCACAATTTTAATACTTCAACAAAGTTTTAGTACGAGTACTTGAGTTCAACAAGTTCACACAGCCTCAGATGAATTTTTATTACTTTTGATTATTTTATGTTAATAATAATAATAATTTTTCTTTTCTTTTATGCTACTACTACTACTACTAATTATTATTTTGTGTAATTGTGCTTATATTTTGTCACAACCATATGTCAATACAATCATATAAATCGCAAATAATGTTTGATTTTTTTTTTTACATCATTGTGCTTATGTTTTGTCACAACCATGATATGTGAACCCCTTCACACAAATTGCAATTTTTTTCTAACCTTTCATAGGTCCTCGCTTGCAGTACTATAAAACTAACACGACTAGAGCATGATTAATATGTGATGAAAAGTATGAAAGTGGTTTTGTCAACACCATCAGTATTTCTTCAATAGATGGTGCTGACAGTCAGGTGCTGTGTCTACAGGCCCACTTTCAGGAAACCACAATGTGCAGTATGCAGACCACTACAGTTAAAGGTCAATCAATCATTGCATGCAATTATTACGAAGCTATTTAGTCTCAGTTATTTAGTGATCACAGTTATGTAGGCTGCCTCTTAATTGTCATGGTTAAAATCTGTCGGCTTGTGTAGTAATGACAAAATAAAGAAACAATTATAGTAATTTATTCAAAATCAAATGAAATGCACTGTGTTTTTTTACAGTGTGAAATCTGGAAAATAATAATAAAACTGGGTTCTTCTTTCTTCCACAGTTACAGATATCATGGACAACATGAGGGACACCAACAAGACTTCCCAGGATCAAAAGAAACATTTCCACTGCTTTCCAGCACTTGCACCCCTTTCACTGTCCTTAGAATGGTTTAGTCCAGTGCAATGTGAGGGAATGCAAGGACACTGGAGGACCCAGAAAGGATGGCCCTAAGTTAAAAATAGCAGAAGAAAATCAGACAAATTCAGAATCAACAAATCAATGCATTCATCCAGACAGAAGAGAAATGTACACACGATCACTTCACAGTACTACTGTAAGGAAACGCTTCAGAAACTGTGCTACATCAAACTGCAGATACATTTCAGAGAGAAGAAAAGTCACAATAAAATTAGGAATATATTGGGTATAATATCAGTATTCGATACTCACATGTAAATGCATGTCCCCTCACGAGGTTGTCGTGGCCCCCTTCACACAGGCCTCAAAAGATTCCAGCAGCTCCTTACAGCCCTCTGCACCCTTCCCCTGAACACTGGACACATATACAGTCTGTTCAGTGCTAACAGTGAAATAGTCTGCACCTATTGTGCATTGATTTTTTTGGACAACTGATCTCATGTCAGGATCAAAGGGGACACATTCCTTGGAGTCAAAGGGTGTTGTTACATCATCACATGAAAGAGTCTTCAGAGTTATGCTTTTTTTTTTTTAGGATATGGCTAGCTGATGTTATATACTTTGGGAAGTCTTGCAGTGTGAGATATTATAAGCAAACTAAAGCTATTTTAAACTATATTTTGTTGTACAAATATTTAAAAAAAGAAATATATAAAAATATTATAGTTTTAGTTATAGTTAGTTATAGTTAAAGGAACATTTCACCCAAAAATGAAAACTTGTTGAAAATGTACTCACCCTTGGCTCAGACCATCTAAAATAGATGAGTTTGTTTCCTTAATGGGAACAGATTTGGAGAAATTTAGTTTTACATCACTTGCTCACCAATGGATCAATGCAGTGAATGGGTGCCGTCAGAATAAGAGAATGTCAGTTTAACCATCACTTCTGGACAAAATATGAGTCCATAATCCATAATAACACTTCTTCCAGTGAAAAGTCCATTCCCTGTTGTCTTCTCACATCAAAATCCACCCACATATTTGTTTAGAACAGTTTTCACTTGTAAACGGTGCTCGATCTGTGCATATTTCTCTCCTGATTCAAACAAGACGACTTTTACATTGGAGAAAGCAATATTATGGATATAGAACTTGCATTTCAGACTGGAGTGGTGTGGATCACTTGTGGATTATTGTGATGTTTTTTATCAGCTGTTTGGACTCTCATTCTGATGGCACCCATTCAGGATCCATTGGTGAGCAAGTGATGTAATGCTAAATCTGTTCTGATAAAGAAACAAACTCATCTACAACTTGGATGGCCTTAGGGTGAGTACATTTTCAACAAATTTTTATTTTTGGGTGAAATATCCTTGAAAAAAAAACAATTCTTGAAAAAAAAAAACGGACATGGTATGCAGATTTGCAGATTTTCTTCACAGATCGCTAGTTTGAAGTCTCTCACTGGGCTAAAATCTAATAAAAAAGATAATACATAATTCTAAAACACTAGGTGCTTTCAAAGTCTAGACCAGATCTGCACGTGACGGCGACTTCATAACCTTCATAAATAACGCAGACATTGCAATACAGGCGATGTAATGTGAGCTGTGAGCAAACCTCCACTCCCTCGCCATTCCATGTGTGAGCCTATTTGAAACCAGGCTATATTTACATCACACATATACATTACTAAAGTTCATGCTAAATTTGGCATTTGGCATATTGCTCTGAATGTCGCATACAAATATGAGACATGTTTATAATTATATTTTGACTTGTATGCATTCGTGCATATTCATACTGCAAAGACTCAAGCATTTGTTTCATTTTATTTTGTAATCTCAGATGTACTCTGAATTATTATTGAATGAATTTATACATAATGCAATACTCTGTTTCTGACAAATGCTATGTTTTACATGTAAGCACCCAACCTAGAAGTCATGCACCACAAATGATGACCTCAATTTACAATGCATGCATGCGAGTAAACCAGTTGAGAGATAATCATAAAGTAGATAGCGCTTAGCTTGTGAATGGTCCAACTTGTGCAACTCACCGTAAAGTTCACATTATTGTGTCACTGTGTGAGTGCATTGACCTCTGACCTTTTGACCTAGAAAGAGAGCGCTCTGCTTTGTTAACAACTGAAGATAGAGTTTATTCATTTGTTCGTGAAAGCATCCAATGCTGGAAAAACGACAGAATCTATTGTAATATGTATCTCCAAAGCTCTGTTGACATCAAATGCAAGCACAAGGGGAACGTGTGTTACAGCAACATGCTTTAACTTAGTAACACGATGGCTAACGTGGGTCATTTTTCACCTGCATCATCAATTTCAAAACCTGCTAACCCCCAGCACCATGTGCTCAATACTGAATCCAACACACGTTTTAACTAGTCTTTCAAAAATGTTCATTCACAAACCACTACAGATAACCTATATACAGGGAGGTGTTATGATATTGGTTAATGAACAAGAACAAATGCTGAGCTATAAAGCATGCAACAGTTAAAAAAAAAAAAAAAAAGCACCAGACATTTAAAGTATTCAAAATTCGGTGTTGCATTAATGTATATCCTTACTGAAATTTGACTCACCATTTGTCCAGCTCATCTTTGGGAGCCTTGCACTGAGCAGGAACTTCTTCAGGCATTTTTCTTTGTGTGACACAATGTCAGAGAGCAGGGTGAACAACTAATATATATAGGATTACTTCCCAGGCTGTGCGGGAAGGAGGAGGAAGAGAGGGAGGAGAAACAGGCTGCAGAAAGTGTCAGAGAGGGCAGGAATCATATAGTAAAAGTGACTTTGACAAAATTAGAATAGAATGGAATGTTCCTTCTTGAAAGGTACATATTGCATATATTTGGGTATTAATAATACAAGATATCTGCAATGTTTCTGTTTCAGAATAACGTAAATCAAGATCCAGCATGTCTGCTGTAAATATTCATTCATGAACAAGGGGTAGATTTTAAACTAATGTTTATTAATTCCTATCCATTTAAAAGAGTCTCTCTGTGTGTGTGTGTGTGTGTGTAAAACATATTTTCCATATTCCATATCATTTTCATATCCTCTCTAGTCTTACATTTTATTGTAAACAGGATGGTGAATATATAACAACATTTTTATTTATGTACTATCCCTTTATTTATGACTTTGTCATAACATAAGACATAAAAAAAGACTCCAATCAAACACAAGATGGCGCAGTTTTACAAGAGCCAGTAGGAACACGAACAAACTACAAAATAATCAACATCTATCTATCTATCTATCTGTCTATCTATCTGTCTGTCTGTCTGTCTGTCTGTCTACTATTCATTCATTGCTGTTGAACTTCCTTCAAGACATGTTGAATACATGTAAAAGTTTTATGAATGCTTTTTCAAAAGACATGTTTCATAGACTTGTTTTGACTATTTCAAATTTACGAATTTATTTTTCAGTTCTTCAGTATAAAAATGCTTCTCATCATATACCAAATACTGCATACTGTTTGTATGACAAACCTTGATACCACTCCAACAGACACATACTTGGTCTTCATGCAGGTTGACTTAAGGTATTGTTCATTCGACTCTATCTACTATCTGTCTGTCTACTATCGATCTGTCTGTTGGTCTACTATCTATCTGTCTGTCAGTCTACTATCTATCTGTCTATCTATCTATCTATCTATAGAGAGAGAATTTTTACTTTAGCTTGTATTATTATTATTATTATTTTGTAACCCCTGGCTGCATTTATAATTCTTGAAAACCAAGATAGATAGATATATAGATAGATAATTATGTTTTTTCTTTTAAAAATTATTTTGACATAAATGAGTTTTAATGGGTTTTAAAATGAGTGACAAAGTATAATAAACTAATTTCAGTGCCTAGAAATAAAAAAGAAACTACGATGCTCAGTGACAACAGGCAGTATGCCTACACGAAGTCTATTGCGAGTTATTTATAGAAAATTTGACATTAACCTAGAATAATGAGCATAATTAAAGTTGTAATTATTTATAGGAAACGGGAAATAATTAAAATAATATTTGAATCATTCATTTATTTGTAAATTAAAAATATTTATTCGAATATTTTACATCTGGTACCACGGTTGAGCTTAGCGGAAAATATAATTTGGCACAATAGAGATTTACTGTACAAAAATAAATCAATTTACTTTGATAATTGGGCAAAAAATATTATTATTTTGGTTAGTCAGTTATTTAATGACAAAGGGATACCTTTTAAATTTGAGGAATTTTATCACTATAAAATCCCAGTTACAGCAAGAGAATTTGCTATTGTTTTTGGAGCCATTCCTTCTGGGATTGTTATGTTTATGAAGGGTTTTAATAACCAGTTTTCTCAGGTTGTGCCACATCTTAATGTGTTTGAAACAGACCACAAAGTCAAATAACAGGAGTGTTCGTACTCCGTTCCAGCGCGAGGTAGTCTCTTGCCCTAATGCTGTCTTTTATTGGAACAGACATGTAGTAACATTAACTCAGAAATTCTTTATGTACAATAAAATCAAAGAAGTGTCTTATAAAATGATACATCGATGCTATCCTACAAAGGTTTTATTTTTTTTTACAAAGGTTTATTTCTGATGACTTTGATGCAAGTTGCTCCTTCTGTGATGACCAAACTGAAGATTTGTCCCATGTCTTTTGGTATTGTGATTATACGAAGAATCTCTGGAAAAACATATGGAGTGTTTTTCATGGTATAATTCCTGATATCTCTTTGAAATATGAAAATGTTATTCTATAGGATATACACATGCGCGTGAACAGTCAGATGCTTATTTATTTAGTCAACCTTATTTTGTTCTTGGCTAAATATTTTATACATAAATGTAAATTTGGCAAACGTAAGCCTTTCTATAGAAATGTTCTTGAAGATTTAAAACTCTATATGTGTTTGATTTCTGACTCTACTAATAAGAAAGCTGTAAAGACTGTGAATCTGTTCAAAAGATACACCATCTGGTTGGTTGTATTAATTAAAAAAAAAAAAAAAAGCTTGGCGGAAGATATGTATACCACGTTTTTCCTAAATATTTCAGTGCGTTCACAGTCCCCCTCTAGTGGCCAGTCAGCGAAGTGCTGCTCTGCGCTCACTCTAGCGGCGGCTACAGGCTTCTCGCTACACGCTGTGCATCTGTATTAGTCAGCCTCAAATCCAAGGGAGACGAACGAGGCGCCATCTTTCGTGCGTTTCTCCCTGCAACGATGAGAAAATGATCTCGAAACCGGTGGTCCATGCCACCTCCAATCTGTAAATAAAGGCGTATATGAAAAGAACTCGTATCTGAGCAAAACATCGATTCATAATATAAAGAAAAATATACATTTGCTATCCATAATCCACTGAAGGGGACAGCAGCGGCAAGGTGTTGTCTAGTATCAACCATTTCGTGATTCCGGAGCCGATAGCGAAAAGGGTTCCTGAAACCGGGGTGTTTTTCACGAAGCGGACACGGATATGGCAAAGGCGGCGGGGTTGCTTTACCAAACGGCTTATTTCGGGCTTTGGTGACAATATTGTGCGATTGTGGTGGAATAGTTGCCGAAATTCCCTCGGATCGCGCGCCTGTCACGTGGTAGGTTCCTCCTTTTTCTTTGTTAGTGGACGATCTCGAGCAGCAGCAGCATTTATGTTACATAAACCTAAGCCTGCAAACCTATCTGAGCTTCCAGTTTAACTCATATTACCAGGAACTGTTGTATTTACAATAATTTTTATGTATCATTTTATTTATGGGGGTTTGAAGGCTCGTATGTTTGCTTTAAAACAGATTACTATCTAGTACTTTCTCACGCAATAAACTCATACGCGCGCTTATTTATTAATTCCCTCCCTATTTTAGCTATAACGGACTTATATATCTTCCTCATGTTTTGATCTACAACTAGCAGCCTCGTTTAGTTTGTACTAAGTTACCTTATCAGTTTCAAACCGGTTCTCGTTCAAATTGTTGGTTAAAATGTAAGCAAGGCCGTTTGAGAGCATGCTAAACATGTGCAATGCTCCCATTTACAGTATGAGGCTTGCGAGACATTTAGCAGCAATGCATTAAAACGCCATACGATGTATTTAATGAGCTTCTACGTCTAACGTTAGTCTTCGAGCCTGAGCTGAAACGCTCCTTCGTTTATGCACGCCACGGAAGTGGTATGAATGTTCATGTGGTCTGTTCAGCATATGCCTGCTAACCGGGCGGCAACCTCCCGCTCTCTCGTGAAGCCAACATGGAAGTGACTTAAACTGTAATTCGTCAACTGGCCACTAGAGGCTGGCTGCAAAAGGGAGTCAATCCCATAGACTCCCCATGTTAAAATGCCCAACTTTACAGCAGAAAAAAAAAAATCCCAGTTACAGCAAGAGAATTTGCTATTGTTTTTGGAGCCATTCCTTCTGGGATTGTTATGTTTATGAAGGGTTTTAATAACCAGTTTTCTCAGGTTGTGCCACATCTTAATGTGTTTGAAACAGACCACAAAGTCAAATAACAGGAGTGTTCGTACTCCGTTCCAGCGCGAGGTAGTCTCTTGCCCTAATGCTGTCTTTTATTGGAACAGACATGTAGTAACATTAACTCAGAAATTCTTTATGTACAATAAAATCAAAGAAGTGTCTTATAAAATGATACATCGATGCTATCCTACAAAGGTTTTATTTTTTTTTACAAAGGTTTATTTCTGATGACTTTGATGCAAGTTGCTCCTTCTGTGATGACCAAACTGAAGATTTGTCCCATGTCTTTTGGTATTGTGATTATACGAAGAATCTCTGGAAAAACATATGGAGTGTTTTTCATGGTATAATTCCTGATATCTCTTTGAAATATGAAAATGTTATTCTATAGGATATACACATGCGCGTGAACAGTCAGATGCTTATTTATTTAGTCAACCTTATTTTGTTCTTGGCTAAATATTTTATACATAAATGTAAATTTGGCAAACGTAAGCCTTTCTATAGAAATGTTCTTGAAGATTTAAAACTCTATATGTGTTTGATTTCTGACTCTACTAATAAGAAAGCTGTAAAGACTGTGAATATGTTCAAAAGATACATTATTGTCTTGCTCCCTGGCATATGATTTAATGTCATTTTGTTCCATCTGGTTGGTTGTATGAATTAAAAAAAAAAAAAAAAGCTTGGCGGAAGATATGTATACCACGTTTTTCCTAAATATTTCAGTGCGTTCACAGTCCCCCTCTAGTGGCCAGTCAGCGAAGTGCTGCTCTGCGCTCACTCTAGCGGCGGCTACAGGCTTCTCGCTACACGCTGTGCATCTGTATTAGTCAGCCTCAAATCCAAGGGAGACGAACGAGGCGCCATCTTTCGTGCGTTTCTCCCTGCAACGATGAGAAAATGATCTCGAAACCGGTGGTCCATGCCACCTCCAATCTGTAAATAAAGGCGTATATGAAAAGAACTCGTATCTGAGCAAAACATCGATTCATAATATAAAGAAAAATATACATTTGCTATCCATAATCCACTGAAGGGGACAGCAGCGGCAAGGTGTTGTCTAGTATCAACCATTTCGTGATTCCGGAGCCGATAGCGAAAAGGGTTCCTGAAACCGGGGTGTTTTTCACGAAGCGGACACGGATATGGCAAAGGCGGCGGGGTTGCTTTACCAAACGGCTTATTTCGTGCTTTGGTGACA